ATGGTGGTGGTAGTAGGACCTATTATTCCCCTCACGTCCTCGTTCTGAAGCACTTCACCTGTTGAAGCTAAATGGAGGGATGTTAACAATGAGAAGATGTTATCATGTCACACTCCCGTGTTAATGGGTACATTTCTGAAGATGTTTTTCACACAGTCTTTACAGGAAAGACATTATGAAACATGGTAGAAATAGAAATAGAAGCACTCTCGTACCTTATCATCATAACTCCTGCCTCTGCTTTTCCTCTATATACACTTTAATACACTTTAGACATCGTTATGTCTCCCCATCTCTGTTGTGTTATCACTCTAGTGCTGTAGTAATAGCCAGCGGGTCATCAGGGTTTTGTCACTTGCACTCACATTTGGTTGCTTGTAATCATAATGTGATTATATTTCAGTCTGCCACAAACATGAATTAAATGGACACAATGTAAATGTCCTTGTGGGTTCACACATCTCTCTTCTTACATTAGCCATCTCGGTCCTACCGTCATTTAATTAATAGCGATGGTGTTCGTGTCTGTGTTTTACTACTGCTGAGGACAGAGGAATATTAGAATATATTATGTAAATCCATAAAGGTCACATAAAGGTAAAATCAGTAGAGCTGTCTGCTCTTTATTTCAAAGATGGAAAAATGTATTGGATATGTTTGGAGAAATGAAAACAGCATTATCATGACGTTTAAGGCTAGTAGTAATTGTATTGTTACGATTAATCCAATTAATAGGAAGCATAGTTGTTGTGTAGCTTTGTTCCAAGCGAGAGTAAATGAACTGAAAGGCAGCCATCTAACTGTACTCTTTGGGGAGGTTTGTCACCATAACTAGTTTGGTTTGACGATATATTGTCCCAGAAATAACTGCGATAAATTATATTATTGTCATTTTAAGAACATTTTATGCAAAGATATAATGATAATATAATAGCATAATAATGCAAGTGCATGCTTTCAAAACGCAATAAAATGTTAATTCTTAAAGATATGACTGGGTACATACAGGTCTGTTTTTCTGATTAAAGTGTCTCAGAGTAAAGCAGGGAGAGATGGAGCACATGTTTGGACACAACACACGCAGCCTGACTCATTCTCTGCACACACACACACACACACTCTGCCTGTAGTCTCCACTAGCTGTCGCACACTCACACATACCTGCACATGCATACACACAGGGCAGTCTTAAGAGGTGCAGGCATGCGGAAAGCAAAAGATGCGGTTGCATTAAGATACATAACACACACACACACACACACACACAAATACAAATACATGCAACAGACATTTGGAAATGACAGAAGAGATGTGAAGGAACCACACTTAGCCAGCCAATCACATGCATCCACACACACACACACACACACACACACACACACACACATGAATAGTATGGGATGGTAACAAACAGAAGAGCCTCCTCTTTAATTATCTGCATTCCTTCACCAGCAGTTTATTTTCCTCCGATTTGATTCCCTGGATGTTCCAACTCGGGAGCGTTGCCGGGTTCGCAATTGACAATTGCTCATCTCCGTGCAAATGTGTGCATGTGTGACAGAGGGAGGGAGATAGACACACAGAGCAGGAGGAGGGCTGGCAAAGCAGGCTATTCTGTGGCTCAGTCACATGGGCGTCCACGAGAGGCAGGCAGGCAGACAGAGACGAGAGAGGCCGGCTATCAATTCAGCTGCAAACGCAAAGAGTCGAGCTGTGAAGATGCTATCCCACTCCTGAGTGACACTGGGTTAAATAGGTTAGCTGTTAGCGCCTCAGCTGGTGAGGGAGATGCATTTTATACTGGTGAGAGGTTTGGAGCCTCCAGAGATTACAGCCAGAAAGTCACGTTTCATCTCCTGTCTTCCTTATTTGGCCTGTTGTGAATTGTTGTTGCAGCAGGCATGTTGATATGTCATGGTAGAATAACCACACGTGTAACTAATTACACTATTATATTTGCTTTACATCATTTAGCTATATCAGTCTCAGGATCCTCGTTTTGTGCATGCTGGCTCACTGGAGAAGCTTATTGGGACACTTAATGGAACAGAGCCATTGTTGATGTTCATTTTAATTCCTGCTACAACAAGTCACAATGTCTGCATTGAAAAAGGTCTATTGTGGATTTTTTTCCCGAGCAGATTTGCATGCACAACCTTTAGTTAGTTGAAGCATGTGTTACTTATAGATAGTATAGACCATACAGGTATACAGTACGTACGGAGCCGGGGGGAGTGGATAATCTCAGATATTATAAAGTCAAACATGTACGCTTCACTTTGCCAGGTTGGATCAACCTCATCAGACACCACTGTTAAACACTGCGGTAACGTGGCGGCGAGTGCAAAATCTAATAATTGTATCAGTATTTTTTTATGCTCATAAAATAACATAAAAGAAAACATAAAACATATCATATTTATCTTTCAGGGCCTTTGCCTCACTCGGAGTCAGAGAGGACATCAGAAACAGCAATCGTTAGGATTTATCTGATGACCCATTGGCAAAATAATGATAATAACAGGAGGATACAGTACAATGTATACTGATGTCGGCATTATGTCCATAAAATAACACAGAAAGAAAATGCGACTGTTATCTTTCAGGACCTTCTCATCGCTCTACTTTACCATAAAAAATTTGGGTGCAAAGAAGTTCAGACAGCGACTAAATATGTGACTTTAGAGTCAGGATGAGTATCGTTAGGATTTTATCGATACGAGTACTCTTACCGATAATACACTTACCGGTTCTGTTTAATTATGTTGTGAGAAAAAAAGACAATTCCTTAAGAAAATAATCAACATTATTTTAATATTCTTGTATGTAAACAACATTCGCAGCTGAACAATGAGCTAAGTGATTAGCTTTGATGTATTAGCCTGTTCTTATTAGCAAACTCCGTTTTCTCTGCCATGTGTGTCTCACCCTGTACCGAGCAGGAGTCAGTGTTTGTGTAAAAACAGAGGCGGGAGGTTTGAAACGCTGCTATTTTCCGCTGAGATCTCACTTCGTCACCTCTAAAGTACAGACGGCAGAACCGTTAACTCCGGGCCTCATCAATACTCCGGGTTTTTACTCATTTAGAACCAGTTCCCGTTTAGAACCGAGTTTCGGGGGGCATCCCTACTTTAGAGTCTGAGAACAACAAAGTGTTATTCTTGGAAGTTCAATATTACCCCCTCCCTCAGCTCTGTGTACGTATATATATTTCTAACTACAAACGCCTTTATGCAGAGTCCATGTTGATTCATTACTATTCTGCAATGCATTTACTTGCACACAGAAAAATCGCTTGCTTATACAGTCAGCTGTCACAAGCGGCAAAGCATCCATTTTGGCCCCATTTGAACAGAACGGAGTCATTGTTAGTGTTGTCGGTAACACCTGTGCTTTTCCTACTGTGAGAAATCAAAATGTCTGCTGTGGAAAAATGGCCTTTTGTGTACTTTTAACTCTAATGCCTGCGCAGCGTTGATAAAAATAAATCCAATCCGACCAAAACCAGTACTCATCGCTGATATTTGCACCCTCATTTTATTTCAAATCAAAACAGTCAGACTGTTGTTAACATTTCTGCGGTTTCTCTCTAAATTCCACCATCTGGGCGACTGAGTGCGATATTGGTTATGAAGATAACAGAGTGGGAATTAATCTGCCTCACTCATGCTGTCTGAAGCCCTCTCTCTGTCTCCTTCCACTCTTTCTTTTGCTCATTTTGTGTTCTCTCTTTCCTGCCCTCCTGAGCCTTGTCTCCATTATTATGCTGAGTGTTATACGTCTATAATTATGCCTCTATTTCAGGCCATCCTGGCAAAAACAGTGCTCTGATTGCCTTTTTCTCTTCTGCCTTCATCCTGTTATTAGACTTTAAAAAAACATCACAACATAACAGATGTACGACTGCTGTAACACTGAAATTCACTAGATTGCTATTTGTGCCATTTGCATTGGTGAGTCTCTTGGTGAAACACATTACAGCCTCGATATATTAGGGTTGTAAAGCCTGCCAAAGAGTGAGAGTGTGTAGCTTACTCCCACTTTAAGAGACTCGCAGCAGGTTTACACTTTCCAGAGCTGTTTTTTTCCATCTTAGTTTAAATGTAAAATGAAGGGTCGGGGGATCAACTTGAGTAAAAGCGTGTCGGAGCTATTTTCAGTCAAGATTGATGCATGTTTATGTTTAACTCAGGTGGCAAGTGAAGTCAATCCGGAAGTGCCTTAAGCTTGCATTCTCTCTAGTGTCCATCAGGGGGCGACTCCTCTGGTTGTATAGAAGTCTATGAGAAAATGACTACTTCTCTCTTGATTTATTACCTCAGTAAACATTGTAAACATGAGTTTATGGTCTCAATCTCTAGTTTCAAGTCTTCTTCAATACAGCATGATGTTCATTTAGTACATTATTTAGACTCAAATTGACGATAAAGCAGGGGATGCTTTAGGGCGGGGCTGCCTTGTGACAGGTCGCCACCGTATACGATGTCTCTACGTCACTCCTCCGCAGTCCAATTATGGTCACTTCTGTTCACTGGTTGCAAAAAAACAAGATGCCAACGGCGGAAATCTGAGATGGCAACGGCCGAAATGCCGAACTCCAGTCTTCAAACTCGCAGTCCACACACCAATGAGTGACGTGACGATGACTTCGTCCACTTCTTATACACAGTCTATGGTTTAACCCTTTACAATTGACAAGTGGTGGACCAACCAACGGACCGAACAGACAGACCTTTCCATCTCTAGAGGCGCTAGCAAGGCTGAACATGTATTCAGCCTCACACAGAACGGCTTTAAAATAGACTCGGTGCCCTTGTAGCTTTGTTTCCTCTGCAGTTCCTCTCGCTGACAGGCCCCTGCTTGTGTTCGACACCGTCACTACAACAAGTTGGACTGCTGTGTCCACCCTTTAATATTCTTCTTAGTCACAGAGAGCACTAACGATGCTGAGTATTGGAGCCTCTCTGTAACACAGTCATCTCTTTCTGTCTCTCTCTCAGATGCTGCTGCCAGGAAAGCCTTCATCACAGAGGTGAGCGACCATCTGTCCCTGTGATCATCTGCTTCTCTTTGTACTGAGCATCTAAGGCTGTTAATATTTGGATCAATTAATAATCTGTGTTCGTAATTTTCCTCGATTGGTACAAAAGTATTTGAATATCACTTTAGTATTCTTTGTCTTTGCTCGACAATTTTTGTTAATCTTCCTAATTTAGTAAATCCATCTGGTACTTCAGCTAATCGACTGTACGTTAAAGCAAACATTGGACCTGTTGTTGTTTGATTTGAGTCTACTGAGGACATTTAATTCTGCTTAAATGCCAATTTATACCAACAAGCTCAATGAACACGACTAACAGCACCAGAAATATTTACATCCAATGTTTGGCTTTGAGATCTTTGAGTTTTTAAATCGGATTCGTTTACAAACTGTGCACAGTTTGAGTTAAAGAACGGAGGAACCAGAGTTAACACCTGTGCTGCGTCTCAATTCAGATACTTCTGTAAGTACACCTTCATGTGTACACTCTGTACTTACTTGCGTAGTGCGTGAATCTTTCGACAGTGTGGTGTCAAATCAAACACAGTTGTTGCGCACTTCATGGAAATTATGATGACAACGTTTAACCGCTTCTTCTTCTTCTTTTTAATAGCAATTTATATTTCACAATATTATTACTATAATAAAAATAAAAAAAGATAATGCTATCAGTCAAAATCATCTTTAACTTTGTTTATTGTGCATTTTGTCTCTTTTATTGCAAATTAATCACATTCAAAATATGAGTTTTAGGGAGGTGGAGACAGAGTCCGTTACCATATTTCATATCGTGACACAGCTATGCACTCAAAATAGCAAGTGTATGTACGGAAGAACGCACATTGAGACACACTGGTCTGCTCAGTGAAAGTCGGTTCATAACATCGAATCTTGAAATCGCTCTCGTGCTTTAATGCTGTGTCACTGTGTCACTCTCAAGTCTGTCCTCAGAACACAAGTCTCTCTCCCTCTTTGTCTCCAGATGCCCTCGTCCTCAGGCCAGCCTGGTCAGGGGAAGAAGATGGGCCACAGAGGAGTGGATGCATCAGGGGAAACTACTTACAAGAAGGTACTGTACACACACATGCCTCTACCATGATGTATTTTCTGGTTCTTAACATATAGAGACTCCATTTTGCCCCTAAAAGCATTTTAAAAGCATTAAATAGAAAAACCGTGATGTTTTTCCCTCTAAAATGATCCGCTCCATCTCAGAAAAGAACCAATCATTGACTGCAAGGGGTTTAAAGAAAGGGCGAGTATTTCACTCACCACTTCTCCCTCTGTGCCTTGGTACCCTCCCTCCACAGACCACATCCTCGGCCTTGAAAGGTGCCATCCAGCTGGGCATCGGTTACACGGTGGGCAACCTGAGCTCCAAGCCGGAGAGAGACGTGTTGATGCAGGACTTCTACGTGGTGGAGAGCATCTTTTTCCCCAGGTCTCTGCTGCAGCCAAACACATAAGAAAAGACACTACATGCAGTTTGTTTCCAGTAATATTAATGCATGTTGTTCTTAACCTAGCTGTTTGATGTTTACTTGATATTATTATTATAAAGTTGATCCTTGTCTTCCATGTGTTGTGATATTTTTCTGTACTTTAGTGAAGGCAGCAACCTCACTCCAGCCCACCATTTCCCGGACTTCCGCTTTAAAACCTACGCTCCCGTGGCCTTCCGCTACTTCAGAGAACTGTTCGGCATCAGGCCGGATGACTACCTGGTAAGATTTTAAGTGTGTGCAGTGTTTCACACAGGACTTTGTGAGACTGTGGCGGGTGGCGAAAAAAAGCTGTGTACATTTTAAAGTAAATTGCATCAATCTGGTGCACTTTGACAGCAAAATGAAGAAGCAAGATCTTTGAAGAACGTGTGTGTGTGTGTGTGTGTGTGTGTGTGTGTGTGTGTGTGTGTGTGTGTCCCTAAACCAGTTAAATTGAATTCTCACCACACGGATGCTAAACTTTCTCCAGGATGGTAGAATAGTATGCATTGATGCGGCTCCGGTTAGCTATGGTGGAAGTTGAAGTACAAACTCAGCAGTAGCTTAGTATCAGATCAGATAGACTTGAAGGAGCATGAGAGACCAATTGAGAGGGATGTAAGTAAGGGAAGGGAGGCAAGACCAGGAAAAGAAAAGACAAACAGAGTAAATGAACAGAAACACGTGAGGACAGAAAACAAAAAAAATAGGAATCCATAAAGATGACAAGCGTGACGGCAGGAGAGAGCTGAGAGAGAAAGAACGAGGACGAGAAGCCGTGAAATGACACAAGAAAAAGACAGAGGCGAGGAAGACAGGACGGTTGAAGACGGAGAAGGCTGCACGATTCACCGCTCTGCCCCGAGCAGTCTAGCAGAATATACAGACATTGCTTAGTCGGCGTGTCTGCGTGTTCCATGTGCACATTTCTTTAATGCATCGGTCCTCAGACCACGTGGAAACACCACATCCTGCCTTGTTTCTGCCGTCTCTCTCAGCCAGCCTGTGGTCACTCATCACCATATGCCCACACAAGCCATCTGGGAACTATCAACAACTAACTTTAAATTTAAGTCTGGTTACACTGAAGTTCTACGTAGGTATGACTCGGTTTATTGTTGCAGCTCTGGAGATATGTGATAATTAGGTGATTCAGATCATATTTGCAGTCGCAGTCATGATTAAGGGGGAAAAGCGTTGGTTAGAAACACTGCAGTATTTCAATAGTCTGTTTTTGTACCACAGACAGGACTGTGGTCTTAACAGATGAAACTGTGAATGTCAACATATTCATCCCTTACATTCACCAACTTTATCACCTGTACTGTTGCTTCTTCACTGTCTGTTAAATTAGCCTGTCCTGGCGTGAAGATAATGATCCTTTTACCCGCCACTGTGTGCACCGGTTTCACATTTTTCTTCTCTAACTCTGTTCAGTTGTGTTTTGTGGATAATAAAAAGGTATGAAAATGAAATGTCAGGCTCCTCTGAGAGGAATGTTTGAAAAGTGAACCATTAGCAGAAAGTCGGCAGAGGCGGCTTCAAAAAGGATGCTGATGAGTTGCTTTTAGGCAGCAGAGAGAGGAGAGAGGGCTAATTAGTAGAGCTAACCATCATATCAGCAGGAGTCTGACGTGCATATTAAAGGAGCTCAAATTTAAAAGCAGTCATAATTTGACATCTAAATGCATCTAATCTATGTACCTCTGTTCTATTACAGCATGTAATGTTCTTGTTCCTCACTCTTTCTCTCTCACCCACAATCTACTTCATACCATCATTTCTTCCTTTGTATTTCTGTATGTTTTTACATGATCAGTGCGCTCATGTGTGTTTCATGTATTTTATTGATCTTTGGCTCTATATCAAAGTGTATATGCATCTCAACATGCGGTTTGTAAAATGAAGGAAGAGGTTTAATATGCTTCAACCACCTCACAGGGATTGCAGGTCTGTCAGGTGTTGTTTTATCGAGAGAGACTCCAGAGATTTGGGCCAAAGTACGCTGGAGCACATGGATTTTAGGCAACAAACGTGATCAGAGGACTAATGTTTTGACGCAAAGTGCGTCTTCATAAAGACTCTGATTCTCCTAAATATCCTCCCCTAACTAGGAACTAATTCAGCACAGACTGTAAAAACATGGAGGGACAATCGGCTGCATGTAGGCCGGGTTACATTACATCATTAAAATATATCAAAAACACAATCAAAATCATATAGATTACTCCATTCAATATCTAAACATCTCAACGTGTGTTTTAGTTAATGCCAGAATACTGGCTTCTGTATAAGCGATATGTTTAAAGGCCGCAGGCTAATCCACAACTCAAGATCATTTTGTCTTAACTGTGGATGTGTTTAATGATTTGACCCGTACTTTTCTCTCCGTGTGTGTGTGTGTGTGTGTGTGTGTGTGTTTCTCCGTGTGTTTCCGTGTGTTCCTGCAGTACTCTCTCTGTAACGAGCCTCTCATCGAGCTGTCTAATCCCGGAGCGAGTGGCTCTGTCTTCTACCTAACGAGGGACGACGAGTTCATCATCAAGACTGTGATGCACAAGGAGGCTGAATTCTTACAGAAACTGCTGCCTGGATACTACATGGTAAGCTCAGTGTGTGTAAAACAACTACATGTCAGAGTGTTAGTCAAAGGTAGATGAAAACAAAATGGCAAATCATATATGTTGCTACTGCATTTCAGCTGTGTTCGTTGCGGCTGACCGAGGCTTAAAGCTACAGTCGGTAGCATCCTTCGCACTCTCATTCGAATGCCGAACTCCATCTTTGATGTTCCTATTTCCAGTCATATTTTTAGATCCCAGTTTATGCAAGAGCCCGGAAATCTCTCCTCTGAGCGTGACATCCTTTTCAGATGAAGCAGACATAACGGCTCTATCATCTCCGACTGAAACCTCGGGCAATGCGGTTTCATAAGAGACTGGCCGGTGTGTTTCACATAAGCCTAACAGAGCTTGACTCTTGACACACACACACACAGTCAACCAGCAGCACCTCCATGTATGTCCATGCTACTACTCCGGCCTCTTGAGGTTCACGGCCTTCAGCCTTGTGTTTATTCATGTGCCGACAGCCGTAGCGAAAGACCACTACAGGAATTAATTTAATCATTTAGGGACGTTAAAGGCTCAGCACATTTACTGTGACCTTTTTCCGTCGTTTCGAAACGCTCTGAAGTATTTTTGCCGGTATAATTAGTCGAAGGACGGGGTTTAATGAAAGCGGAGAGATTCAGGCTCATGTGCGACGGCTGCAGCCCGCGGCCGGAGCAGGTGGACCGAGGAAAAAGAGAGAGAACAGCACAGATGGACTAGCACATAAAGCCCACGCCAAGATAAACACGGAGTAGAAACCACACAAAACATCATGTAGAAGGATCCGATTTCACAGACTCACAGAATCATCAACGCAGTGCGATGGCGTATTATGGCTATTGTAGGTGAAATAAATAACTGAATCTGAAATCTTGAGAAACTATTAAAAAATTGCATATCTCTAAACTGATGCAGTAAAAATACTTGATTTTGTATCTGACTGTAGTCGCAGATATCTTCAAGTCAAATGTAGCAACCTGTCATCAATTTAGTGGAACACAGACAGCATGTTTTATACTTCTCATGAATATAATCCAATTAGTCTTATTTCCATATATTTTGTATATACCCTTTAACAAATGGATCACACGTGTATCCTCCCACTAACATCGCCACGTCTTTCTCTGACGCTCCGCTTCAGCTTAATCTGTGCCGGTTTGAATACATTTACCATAAATGTCGGTATGTAGTCGGTATATATGGGTGCACTACAATTTTAGCAATGAGGTTGAACCTTGCAAAGAAAAAAATAACGTTTTTTCACGTACATTTTTGACTTTAATCTTAGCGCATTTCTGAGTTTTTCTTCTTTTAAATTAATGACTTTTATTTATTTCATTTTGTTTTAAGATATGTCATTTTTGGGCTTTCGCCTATATTGGATAGTGACGGTGACAGACAGGAAAGCAGGAGAGAAAGAGAGGCGGCAACTTGCAATAAACGGCCGTGGGTTGGATTCGAACCCAAGGACTGAGCCTTGGTACAATCTTTTATTTATTTTTTAACCTTCAATGGCGCCATCATAACATAGAGATGTGAAGGAGAAAAAAACAACAACAAAGCACTGCACATGTAACAGTGGAACACGCTCGTGTGTTTGTTTTGTAGCAAACATAAAGATGTATGCAGGCCGTCATTGGCGGAGCTCCACACGTCTTCCACAGCTGACTGGCTGAGGAGTCTGGCTCTGGGCAGCATACAGATCAGAGTGATGTAACCGACTCCACTGCTGCCGCTTCTCTCCCTTCTGTGTATTCGCCCTTCCACTATACGCCGAGTTTTTTCCATCTTCTCTCACGTTTTAGTGTCTTCACTCTCCCTGCTGCCGTGAGACTCTCGGTGTAATTTATTTCGCCCCGCCTGCCTCGTGTTTTTCATCCACTCTTTTTTTCTCCGGCCGCTCTTTCAACGCTCATATCTGGCCTCTTCTGCCTCACGTGTCTGTGTTGTTGGCTCGTGACCGCTCTGCCCTCTTAACATTGACAGAAGGGTCGTGTGTGGCTGAGGGCAGGCGATGCTCTTTCTTTCTCTTTCTCTCTCCATCATTTTTGCCGCTCTTTCTCTCTCTCTCTACCAGTTTCTCTCCTCATGAAGGTCACTCCCACATGTGCTGAGCCTTTTAGCCACACTTCCACTTTCATCCTTTATCTCTCCTCTGCCTGTTCCTCTTTCATTCTCCTCATTTTTACTCTTGAACGCGGTGTGCTAGCGCTATATGGACCGCTCTCTCTTTCACCTCCCCCTCATTTCTCTAATGGCACTGAGCTGGCCCAGGTCCCGATATCAAAGCGGGTTTTTAACTGAGCACCCAGCCAGAGTAACCTCACAAGTGACATATTCAGAACAGATTGGTGATTGATGGGAGAGTGTTGTATAGAGTAAATGCAGAAATTAAGACAGCAGAGTCTCTGTGGATACAGTGATGATTCAGATGGATTATTTGGGGGATTTCTTTTCAGGAAATTTGAGGCCTATAAAGCTAATTGTGTTAATGCATTTGCATAAGATGACTACTGTATGTAAATTAGGTGCAACGCCTCTAAGCATCTCATACATAGATGGATGGACCAGATATTTGTAACACGTTGCTAATGGTTAATAAAAAAATGTTCAACAGTCTATAAACATCTGGATGGCTTTTATAAAGCTGCAACTAATGATTATAATAGCTTTATAAATGGTTGATATACTTAAAGCATCTATAAACAATATTTAGATATGATAGGATAGAGAGGAAACATTTGGTCCATCTATCTATGTCATTTTTAGAGATTATTTACCTACGATTTGTTAAAGATTTATAAGTTATTTGATCATCATTAACAAATACTTAATACAGTATTTACAATGAAATGTGTGCAACAATAATCTGTTAATAAATAGTTTACTAATGTGATCAGAAAGTAATTATTATCGACTCTTATCAGCTATGATACAATATATATAAATTAAGAACTAATTATTTCATATTACACAAAGTAATGATAGAATATCAGAAATTATAGCTTATTATTAATAAATATTATTATTATCATTCCATGGTTTGTAAACAGTAAAAAAAACATTTACATTATTTACTAAAGTTTAATTAACTATCAATTTACCATTTATTAATGAGGGATATATCAAAGATCATTAGCTGTTATCTCTTTAAATAATCAATGAAATGTCGGAAAATAGATAAAATTAAATGCCTCACAATGACCTAAAATCCAAAATCAAATTGCTTTTTTTTGTCTGATCAACAGTCTCACTCACAAAACTATTAATCACAAAAGAAAATAATTAAAACCTTTACAATACATAAGCCGGAACCAGAAAATGTTTTGCATTTGTGTTAGAAAACGATTAATCAATTATCAAAATAGTGACCACTTCCTTGTTTCACAACACTGTGAGATCTTCTGTTGCCTCTCTGTTATCATGTAATGTTTCCTGGTCCAGTCAGATAATAAATGTGTAACTGTAGCCAGTGAGATTTGTTGTTAATCAATGAACGTATTGTGTCATATTGCTCTAGAAATGTTTTAACCCTTACACATCCCATGAAATGAAATATGCTTGCATCATGTTCCTGGGTGTGTTATATGTTCCTGTCTGTATTTGTACTCTAAAAATATATTTACGCCGAACTTTTCTCCTTCTGCAAAGTGTCAAAAAACTTTATTTAGCACATTTGGTCTTGGGCATGTATACAAATTTAATCCTGTAGCTTTTCCCCACAATTAAATCCCTCAAATCCATTCCCTCCAATATTAAGTTCTGCCTCTACATCCTGTCTGAGCACAGCAGCAGAAACCTTTAAACACCATTTTGCTCTCTCCCTCTCTCATGCACATTTCTCCAGAACTTGAATCAGAACCCTCGCACGTTGCTGCCCAAGTTTTTCGGCCTCTACTGTGTCCAGTCGGGCGGGAAGAACATCCGCGTGGTGGTGATGAACAACGTCCTTCCCCGCGTGGTTCGCATGCACCTCAAATTCGACCTGAAGGGCTCCACCTACAAGAGGCGAGCATCCAAGAAGGAGAGAGAGAAGGCCAGGCCCACTTTCAAAGACCTGGACTTCATGCAAGACCTGCAGGAGGGACTGATGCTGGACCAGGACACTTACAGCGCGCTGGTCAAAACCCTGCAGAGAGACTGTCTGGTGAGTTGGATGGAGGGAGGGGGATACGCTACACTTCTATTTGATATTGAGATAGACGGCGAGACAGAAGGCAGGAAGGAGTAGAGTTTTGCACGGGTCCAGTTTTGCAAACCAGCTCGTAACCCACAAAGCTCAGTACCAGAACCAACCCTCTACATGCAAGTATGTCCACGTTATATCCGGACCTGGCCTGTAAATACCGACGTGTGATTAAACAAGCAAGCTGCTCTACAGTTTCCCTTTAAAGCGCTTTCTTTTTTCTTCCTCCTGGTTTAAGATGAGATCTCCATGCTTAAATCAAAATCTTCTATTTCTCTGATTTTTACTCCAACCTGTGAATTTACAATATATAAATGTATTTTTTTACCCATCACACAACTCATTGCGGCGGGTAGCCCCAGGTACCAGACCCGGTGCAGGACTCTGTGTAGAAGGGAGAAGGAGCCTAGGGGGAGATGACGAGGGGGAGAATTCATATAACACCCGTGATCAAGAGTCTCCAGAGAGAGAGAGGGAGAGAGAGAGAGAGAGGAGGAATCCTAGGCAGCAATGGTTAGCGGGAAGGATTAGAGGAGTGTTTGAAGGAAGGATAAAGTGATGCCATAATGCAGCGTCTCAAGGGGAAAGAAAGATAACGAGACGGAGAGTACAAAAGAAAATGGGAAAGAGTTGGAAAACGAAGATATTATGGTGCCCTGATTAATAAAAGAGGATCACGGATGAGGGGGAGGAAGGCTGTAAAAGAAAAAGCTTTTCATGAGAGTGTTTGGCATTCCCAGGACCCTTCACTATAAATCAGAGCTTCGTTACGAGCACCGGGTTTAACAGGGTGCCTGCACTTGTCTTGTAAATCACCACCTCATATTTACTTATATAGTGCATGTGCTTTGGAGGGAGTACATGCACACTGGCTATCTTAGACATTGTTTATTACTGTGTGCATTGCTGTTCATAGCTCAGTATAGCTGTTACAGTTCTCCTCCCCTCTCTGGTGCTGACACTGTTATGCACTCCGCATAAAAGCTTTCACACAGATTTATGCCGTCACGCGTCAGTCAGTCAGTCACTGCGCACCTATCAACTGTCCTGTCCGTGTCCTTTTTGCTCAGGTGCTGGAAAGCTTCAAGATCATGGACTACAGTCTGCTGCTCGGGGTTCACAACATGGACCAGGCGGAGAGGGAGAGGCAGATGGAGGGCTCCCAGGGCGACAGCGATGAGAAGAGGCCCGTGGCCCAGCAGAAGGCCCTGTACTCCACCGCCATGGAGTCCATCCAGGGAGGAGCCGCCTGCGGAGGGTCCATCGACACCGACGACACGTGAGTTCAGCCACAGAGACAAAGAGGCTGCTGGCAGAAGAACCGGGTGATACATGTCACCGCTGGCACTTTAAAAGGGAGAGTGCATGTCTCAGACTTGCACATTCATGCCACATTAATCATGATAAATAAAATGGAATATAGACGAACAATGATAAAGTTTTCTTTAGAAGAGCACTTCAATTTAATTGCTTCCTCTTCTCCCGACAGTTAAACTGCTTTCAGTCCTTATTCTCTTCTTCCTCGCGTCGTCAGTTTTCAAAAAATCGTCTTCAAACTCTTCTTATTAAACAATTTCCACTCATGCTTATTACACTTCAGCTGACACTTCAAACCCTTTCAGTGTTTCATCTGACACTTACACTGCTTTTAGTGCTTACACTCTCTTTCCTCACTCCCTTCAACTTTTCCCCATAAAAACCTCTTCACACTCTTCTTATTAAACAATTTCCACTCATGCTTACACTTCGGCTGACACTTCAAACCCTTTCAATGTTTCATCTGACACTTAAACTGCTTTTAGCGCTTAAATTGAAACTGCAATTCCCAGAGAATATAAACTTTTAACCTTTTTATTTTCTTTAGACCTTTAATTTTCAGCACAAGTGGGCAAAAATGTTCCCAGAAAATGTTGCCTCTTCCAGTCTAAAAGGGCTGAAAAGTTGACACTGAAGCAGGTTGCTACACTTTCAAGTGACCCTGATGTTAAGCTGCGTTTACGTTCAATGTGTATTAAAAGGTCGTCAGTACGGTTATAGGCCGAAACCTGCTAACTATGAAATTATACATTTCAGTTGAAAGAAACAGAAGTGTCTTGCCTTTACTATTAGATTCTCACAGGGGCCATTTTCTTGTTTGGAAAAGTAGTTTAGAAGACTCTGAAGTCGGGTTTCAGCACCTCGACTGTAATCCAGCACAGTGGTTAAAGGATTATGAATTATTTGGTCAAAATTGAGCGGGGCTGTAGTCAACAAAATAAAATGCTGGTTGACTGAAATCCAACCTACTCTTTAACCAATCGATTGGTCGAAAAAATCTGCACCAGTGACGATTTGGTCAGACGAGAGCCTGTCGACCGATCAATCGACCGACTGTCCAGAAGGTGTCAGCCTCAAAGTTGAGCACTTCCAGTGGGAAAAGGAATCGATATAAAAGGAACCTCTGTAGGACAGTGAGTGTGATGTTTGCCTAACAGGAGAACGAGTTGTCAGACGTGCTCCCAGTCTGTAAAGCTATAGTTCCATAACTGTCATTTAAACCAAGAGTACTGCTGGTTTTAAATCCAGCCATCTTACTGGGACTTGTATACACCTTTTAATATCAAAGTAAGCATCCAAATAAACAGACGTCACGACATACTATTCATTCCTCTATTCTGCTTCTCGCTACAGGATGGGCGGTATCCCAGCTGTGAATGGAAAAGGGGAGAGACTTCTTCTCTACATCGGAATCATCGACATCCTGCAATCCTACAGGTGATCGTCACAGCAGTCATGTGATTACACGTGATATTTATCAATCTAGACAGCTTTAGTGTGAATTGCTGAGCGTTGTAGAGTTGTCCATAGAGATGTCGGCCTTCAACCTGGTTACTCAAGATAGTCCACAGACCTTGTTGTGAGCAGTTTCATGTCAGAACTATGTTCTTTCTATCTACCCGTATCACCCTGCAGAGGGAAGCGTGCATCTATACTCGATACAGCTAGCTCACTTAGCACCACTGAGCTAGTTAACGTTACAGCTCAGCCGAGGAGGATGCCATTAGATGCACACTTCCTTCTGTGTAGGGATACCGTTGGCTGGTGTAGTTCGGTAGAAAGAAAATAGTTCCTACACAAAAATGCTCACAACGAGGTCTGTAACCAGGTTATGATTTCTGGAAAGAGACATTGTTGTTTAGTTTTTCAAATGTAATTTTCGTGGTACTTTGAGCACCACAAGACGAGAGCCACATAGTTCCATTATATTGCAGACATTTCTACGGTCGGTATTTCCAAAACTAGGCAACTCACACCACAACAAGATCGATAAATAGCACCACATCGAAGAGGAAAACTGTATTTCTGAGATGGGAGTTGACGGCCCCTTTAAGGTTCTCGGCCTATGATCCTAATATAAAAGACGGTGTTTAACATCGCTGTGTTAAACCGTGCTTCTCTTTGTTTCCGCAGGCTAATCAAGAAACTGGAGCACACGTGGAAAGCTTTGGTTCATGATGGGGTGAGTTTTTAATAGCTTCTTACTTAGAGACACAGCTATTCAGATGCAGAGACATAAAGTAGACTCACACTCATCCAGGAGCTCATGCTCAATACATAATGGACTCTCTCCATCTTATGTTGTATGACTGGTTTTATTTACATACAGTCTGGCCTTCTCTTAGGAGAGTACACAAAGTACACATGTAGCGAGGCCCAGGCCCCATAAACAACAGCCTCAAGCTGTGAGGACTTTTATTAGCTTCAAATTTGGCAAACTTCCTTGTTGTGAAGAACAGCCTGTCTGTCTGTGTATGTTCAGTCTGCTTGTCTCCTCCTTTGTCCGTGCATTTCACTCCCTTTTAATAAGTCCGGCTAAATCTCCTGAACTAGAAGCTCTACCTGCTCCGTACTTCCCACGGTTATTGAAGAAGTTACAGGTCTATTTAGACATGCTCGTGTATTAAAGCTTATTAGACATCAGCTCTCAGCAGAGCTATGGGTTACTCAAATGTGAATTATATGCCTATCTCCAGCCACAGCTGTCTTTTATTGGGCTAATCTTTTAATAACGCTGTGTGCATGACTAAGTTTGACTTGTATTAAATCCCCTTTATGAACAGTCAGCCTTTCTTTAAGTAACAGAGAGAGACACAGTGATGTGTGAACCTGAATAGGTTGCACACACATATATATATATACAGTATATATACATATTTACTGCATGTCTCTTTGGGTTCTGAAACAATCCCTTCACAGTTTAAAAAAAATGTGTGTGCATCAAAATGCGACAGATAACCTCTTGCAAATATTTTGATATCAACAAATCATGATCACATTCAATTTTATCATGCTTCCATAAACAAACAGGACCTGAACCATGAGGACTGGCAGCTCATGCCGGCCCACGTGCAACATTTTTTTTATTGTGTGCTGCCAGGATCACAGACCGTCTTTGTTGCATAAATGTAGCCGAAGCCTGCAGAGCATTTCAGAATGCCCTGTGGTCGGATGAGCAAAGGGATGATAGAAAAGCACCTCACATCTCTTCATACACTCACTGTGCATCATCATCATCATCGTCATCATCATCAGGTTGTGCTCAGGATAGAATCCTACCTATCAACCTCTTCCCCCATCTCTCCTTCCTCACTCCACTCTTCCACTCTGAAACACAATCAAACGTGAGATACGTGTGAGAGAGAGAGGAAGCCTCCCTGTGACGGCCTCCTGTGTGTCACTGCTGACAGTGAGAACAGGTTCTCCACACTAAGGCTCTAGCGAATAGGTTGAAGCTTCATTCACACGGTTCACATTCAACATTCTAAATAAACATTTGAATGCTGCATGCATGCGTCTTTTCATTATGTTTAAATCGAATTGTTGTTGTTGTAGTAAATCGAACAAAGAATTCTGCTTCAGTTCTTATTTGTTGGCGTTTAGCCTTTCAATGCACTGATGAGTTGTATCCATTAAAGAACGTTTGTTTGATAGAAGAAGACTAGCTCATTTTATTTGAATTGAGAATTTCTTTCAAGGATTTAATATGTTTTTTTTAGGCTGATGACGTCATAAGATATGACAACAGACATTCAAAGCTTCATTCAAAAACCTCAAAAGAAGCTTTGAATGTTAAAAACAGACGTTCGGTGCAGCTTACTCCTTCCTCTCTCTTTGTTACGCTCAGCCTCAGTTAGGTGAATGCCTTGAAAAGATGTTACTCATAGTGCTTCAGTGGTGCTGATGCAAAGAAGCTAATAATAACTCTGTGCTGTATCTCCTCTTCCTCTTCCTCCTCATCCCTCCGTCCTTCTATCAGTCTAAACCAAACACCGAGTGTCACCTGTCACTCTGCCGGCGGTGTGATCTCAGTCTGCTGCAACATAAATAATGTCTGTCCCCTTGTCCGATTGTGTTTCTGTCCATCATTTGTCCTGTCTGGTGGTTTGACCGAGAGAAAAGAAAGACTTAACTGAGACTCTAGGAACTAATAGACATTTAAATCTGCTGCGAGCTCTTCTTTAATCATTTTATTCATGCACCGATCGTCTCATTAATCTCTCCGTCTCTCCCTCAGGACACCGTATCAGTCCACCGGCCAGGCTTCTACGCCGACAGATTCTTCAAGTTCATGAGCAGCATGGTTTTCAAGAAGAGCTCCTGTGAGTTCAATTTGGGTCGAGACGCTACCTTACATAGTCAGACGGGGCTGTGTGGGAAGAGCCACAGACGCAAATGTCAGATGCCGGGCTTTTGTCTCTTTTACTGCCGAGCTCTGACAGCAAAATCAGATACAGTAACGAAGTGCCCTTTTAAGGTGCCGCTCCGTGTCACGCGAGCCTTAAACATCCATCTGAGCCTCGTGCACTTTTTTCTTTTTCATCACCGTCCAAAGATTTTCACACATAAACAGAGAATTCTTGGCAACGGGGAATGAAAGGCAGATGTGATGTTGTCATTTCAAAAAAAAAAAAAAAGTTTTTTCTTCAACGCACAATTTAAATAGTCTTATTCACACTGCAGCGTCGCAATCTAGAGATCCTGTGAAGCGTGTAGCCACTCATACATACCGGTCCAATTCATCTGCCGACACACTGCAATGATGTTTAGATTTGTGTGGACTGACCCTTAAAAAACATTTGACTCAAAATCTGAAAAAAATATAGTAGTAATTTATTTCTGAACACAAAAGGCATAAATAATAGCTGACAAGTATAAAAAACAAACACAAATGTGCTTAATATTTTATTCTGACAGCATAAGATACCATCACACGTCCATTCGAGTCGTGTGTTAATGTGTTAATCGTTCCTCAGCTCTGAAGTCATCTCCATCCAAGAAGGGTCGTGTGTCGTTGTCGGTGCCTAAGTGTGTTGGTCCTGGAGCAGCCTGGTCAGCCAGCCAGCTGCCCTCCGAGAGAGACGAGAACATCTACGACCTAAGAGGAGCTCGCAGCTTCCCCACGCTGGAGGATGAGGGTGAATAACACCTGCAGACAGTTGCAATGCAGAGACTTAAAGGGATAAATTGGATTATTTTGAAGTGGGGTTGTATGAGGTAATATTGTGTGTGTGTGTGTGTGTGTGTGTGTCTCTCTTCTCTCTCTCTCTCTCCTCCAGGGCGACCAGATCATCTTCCATGCACTCCTCCATCGTTTGAAGAGGCCACCACAGCGTCAATTGCCACCACCCTCTCCTCCACCACCTCTCTCTCCATCCCTGAGAGATCCCCCTCTGACACCGGCGAGCACCCCCGCTACAGGTGCTAACACACACACACACACACACAGACACACACATACGCTTTAAAACAATTGAGTCATCCATTGCAATCAAATAACGTAACATTTATTTCATATCATTGTGGCCAAGAGGGATAAATGAATTCACTGGCATCTTGTTGACTTCATTTTTTGGTACTAAATTCAGCGTATTTACAAATTCTTGACTAATTGGGCTGAAATTAAACATTTTCTTTCCTCTTTCTGTGTTGACTCGATTCTAAGTTCTGCCAGTATTTTGTGTTAATGTGTCTCGTTTCCACAATAGTGAATCATACTTTTGTTGCATTAATCTGACTAAAATCCTTTAGTTACAACTGTGTGTGAAAGTTTTAGGAGACACAGCAACATGTTGCATGTCGGCCCGCGGCTGCAGCCGTCGCATAGAGCTTGTACTGACACTGTGTCCTCTGTCTCCAGGAGGTACACCCAGTCTCTCACCCATGACGGAAGGTGAGTCGGGAGCATGAATCCTACTTTCTCTTCATAAACCTTTTTTAGCAGGATTAACTGTTTTACAAAGTCATGAGGCTTTCTGGTTTCATGTTGTCTCAGTATTTGACATTTCTGGGTGCGGTGGGTGGATAGAGAAAATATGATGTCAGCCTGGTCTGGTGTTCATGAGTCGGCCCATTCTTCCTGTTGCTAAGTTGTGGCCATGTTTGTTTTTCACGTGTGTCTCGTTTCCTCTGTGGGTGTTATTTTATGTGTGTTTGTTATGACCCCAAGTTGGTCTCAGGGAGAGAGAGTAACACAAAGCCAGCTGAGGAGTATGAGTCAAGTTGTTCACAGTTCAACCTTTTATTGCCAAATACGGATATAACATGGATAGCAAGAAATCATCAGGGAGATCCCTGGTCAGAATAACAAACAAGCCAGTCTGGAATTGAAATTAATTCACAAAGTGAACTAAACTGCCCAAAAAGAAAAGTTACATTTCTCAGCTTAACTCCCTCAGCAACACAAAAATAGGAAAAAAGGAATGTAGCACAACTTGGCAGCTCTCCCCTACTGGGCTTCCTGTCAAGAAACTTAGGCGGTTAAAGGGATAGTTCATATTTTTGGAATCGGGGTTGTGTGAGATACTTATCCATAGTCGGTGTATTACCAACAGAAGATAGCGGTCGGCATGCTGTTGCTAATAATTTAACAGCTTTGCCTTCAGACATTCATTTCAAACACAGGTGTTACAGGTCTACCTCTGCCTTGATCGGTTATTAAGTTTGGGTTATTCTATGACTTTGGTGCTTTAAAGGGTCAGTTTGTTGGTTTTCACCAAAGTCACACAATGACAGAAACAAACAAACAGCGGTCGACGAGCAACTCCCGTGTTCTGCGAGGTAAAATATCTGTTTTTGGCAATGGGGTCTTGTGTCTTTGAAGACAGCATAGACAGAGATAACATCTGCAGTTCCCCTTTAGAAAGGCAAGGTAAAGCGGTGAAAATATTCTGAATATAGCATATATGGCTAAACTATATTTTACTGCTGCTCCTGTGCTGGTACTCCTGTCTGCGGGCCATCGACTGTAAGTAAATACACTGACTGTCTGTCTGTTGGTGATCAGGACCCAGGAGGAGCTGCGTGTGCGTGAGGAGGACCAGCAGACCATCAGAGTGGAGGTGGAGTTGAAGAGACACGACAGTGAGCCCACCATCTCTGTTCCACAGTCTTCACCTGAAGCCAGGTAACACCAACAACACAATGCTGAACAGAAGGGATGATTTTCCAATAATGTGTAACAACTGATAGATTATAAAGTCCATCAAAACACATCATGTAGTCTAATAGTCTTGATTTTCCATTGTTTTTTATGGTAATATTTGCTAAACTATTGAGAGTTAGAAAGAAGTGAGCTTACCAGACATGTTGGCTGCACAACACACCCAGATCTCCAAACTGTCGGCGGTCAAGTTGCATTATGGGTAATGTAGGAGCCTAGTTTCGACAAGGAAGAAGAGTGCAGGACAGAAAAAAAGACGATATCTCTGGTTCTGTTGCATCGATTTTTATCCTTTTTTTGTTTTAACTGTCCATCGGTTTTCCAACAATGTTATGGAAGTACTACAGCGGTGGAGTACTCTTTTAAGTCATCGTGCTCTAATCACAAGCTCAGTCAGTTGTTTTGTGTTTGTAAATACTGGCTTTGCGGCCCAAACACTTTAGCATAGCACCCTGCAAATTCAGTTTTGTAGTGGATTTTCCCTTTTAAAACTTTTAGGCTCAATACAAATAATAAAATACAATTGTTTCTGTGCAGATCTTTGGTGCTCAATATTCTATCAATTATAATTTAATTACTTGATAAGTGAAAAGCATATTCAAATGAAAAATATCTGTCTTGCAACATGTTGCCATATTTAGCATACCTTCAAACACATCAACTCTCCATTATGTTAAATAATTGAATACACCAGACAGACCATGAATATAACCATGACACACACACACACACACACACACACACACACACACACACACACACACACACGTCTGTCTCTTTTTCACTGTAACCAATGATGACAAGAGTCCGCCCTTTCATACGCTCTGAGTATTCATGTGACCCCGATACAGGGTGGATAAGCTGTGGAGATGTAATGAGTCCTTCATGACCTCGATCACCAATATGACTCAGTTTGATGCGCACTATAAATAAATAACCTGTCGCCAGTGTCTCACCTGGGCTCAGCCAGCTGTTAGATAAGCACATCTTACCCGTCTCTCACACACACACACACACACCCACACACACACACACGGTTCTTAGCATGCTACATATAAACACTGAAAGCAGCTTGAGCCATTTGTTTATTGGACTCTGGGGTTCCCTGTTATGGTGCTACAAATGCTGCAGGCATCTACTCTATTAGGTTATGAGAAAGTGCGCACATGCATGTAAATGTTGGCTGTGTGTACGAGCAGTGTGTGTTCTTTCATGGGGTGGGTCGTGGGGGAACCAGTCGGTAGAAATAGGGCAGTGGGGCAGGAAGCCTGCAGGCCTGGGGCGCCTACATTAACGCTGGGGTGACATGTTGAATATTCTAACCTGGTTTGTAATTAAAGTTCACTAGTTTTGGCATTTTGGCTTTAATTACAAAGTTTAAAACTGCATGTCAGGAAGAAAACAGCAGGGGAGTCTTAAGTCAAAGCATAACATCGCACACAAAAACACTTGTGTTGCAGTCGAATAATCCCAAAAAATGTGTATTTTTCTAAACACTTTTCCTCGACTTCGATGGACGTTAAGAGAAGATGTGAAGGAGAATTTATAAGGACTCAGGAAACAACAGCAGCTGTAAGAGGATCCGACCGAATTTATACTTTAATAAAACATTAGTACAATGAATGTCAGACACGATTCTGGACCATTATATTTCCTGTCCAAAATAGAATCAAACCTGCTAAGAAGGATGTTTTCAATTAAACAGCGAATGGTGGGCAATTTAAATGTTGTTGCTGCAAGGAATTATCCCATCCTTCCTTTAATGATCCAGTGTGCCCTATGCTAAAGGGGATAAGAAAAGGAAGCATTGATGCACCTTTCCTTCGCATCTAGTTATTGGACTAGCTGGCACATGGCTGCCACTTAATAATTCATTTCACTCAGCTGGGAACCTTCCTAATCAGAAAAGACTATTCGACCGCGTCCTTGGTGTAAGCCGCATTAAATAAACTACACTCAAACAGATGGGAACACGGCAGTGGTGCTCACATTTATGCCGGGGTTAAGTCAGCGAGGATCAAGTGAATAATTGGGTCTGTTGCTGAGAAGGCGGTGGCTAGACATATGGCTCGGGGGCGTCTGGAAGGAGCTGGGGGGGGGTTGAGAGTGGCTGAATCAACCATCTGACTCCTCCGAGCTGCCTCTAACTCACCTGCAGCTGGACAACCGGCTGGATGGATGTGAGGAGAGAGATGGAGCGGAGGAAAGGAAATGGGAAACGGGAGGACTGATTGGATAAGAAAGACACAAAGAGAAGATGAGAATGTGTGAATAAAGACTGGAGGAGGGTGAGAAAGACAGAAACAGTGTTCTTGAGTTAAAGAAGAAATATGAAGAAAGAGAGCAGCAAATTAGAGTCAAAATACAGCACATTTACAGTTTTGTAAAGATACTACTTGATGAAATGACAGATGGTGGGAAACAGAGACGTTCTGTAGTGCAACCCCCCCCATCTTACCCTCCTCATTTATTCAGCCAGCTCTCTCTCTCTTTGAGATGCCAACTCAGCTTTATTTTGCCTCCGTGGCCAACTGCTGGGCTTTTCCTCTGGTGGAGCTTAGCTGAAAACACAGGAGCTGAGAGAGCGATGTGGATGCGCCCGAATCCTTTCTAACAGTTGATGATCTTGCCAGGAACAATAAAGGATTGTGGCAGCACACAGACGGCTGGCAAATCTTTGAGCTTAAGCAGCTAAACACCCACACACACACACATCTGTTGAGTGGATCTAATAGCCCGGGTCCTGCTCCTCTGCCCTGCTGCAGGAAAGTGGCTTATGACAAGTGACCCAATTAATGGCTCTCAGTGTGTGTGTGTGTGTGTGTGTGTGTGTGTGTGTGTGTGTGTGTGTAACCATGTTGTTTATTTGGTCCTTAAACTACAGAGCTTTTGTAATAATGACATCACTGTATCTTTTTCTACACCAGATTTAAGGCAAAGATGCCGTGTGAAGGGAAATGAACAGATGTATTGTTGTTATTGTAGTTTTAATGGTCAGCTGATTTGGACTAATTATCAACACAGACATAAGTTGCAGCAGCAGTTGTGAAACAGGTCATGGAGGCAATTAAAGTACTTTAAAATCCAAAAGATCACACTGATGGGTCTCTGTATATCTAACAGAAACTGGTTAAAGCTAATTTGGCTTCATTTTGATGGTGCTAATTTGCCAAAATGTAAACAAATAAAAAGGTGTGGTAGCCAACAGCGTAACTGAATATATGGTAATATCACTACTCCAGTTTGTGTCCCCCAAAGCATTATTGAGGGTCCCACAGTGTCAGACTTGACTCTTTAAAGCCTCTTTCCCACTGAAAAACCTGCATGAACGGACTAATTTTGGTGAGAAAATGCTTTAATAATCTAATTTCTATCTTCCCACAGTGATGTTCAGGAAGGAGCTGGTGCAGAGGCTGCCAATGATGCTGCTGCTGCTGCTGCAGCACCCTCCAGCTCTTCGTCAGCACCTGAAGCAGCAGCAGCCTCCTCCTCCTCCTCGTCTGCCCCAGATGCTCCTTCTTGTTCCGGGGCAGCCAGTGAAGCCCCGTCCAGTCCCAAGGTGGTGGTGGAGACAGACAGGGCCAGCCAGGTGTCCGGCTCAGGCTGCACCAGCCAGGCTTCAGTCGATGATGAGGACGACGTGCCAATCACAGATATCTACTTTGTAAGTTAAACCCTCCACACACACACACACATGCACACACATTTATACTTTTAGAGTCCTGTTAAGACCAAAGTAAGCACAACTCAGAGCAGGACTAGCTCCAATCACTTCTCATCTGTTTGACTTTTTTATTTAGCCATCAAATCATCTTTAATATTCAATCAGCTTCAATGTGTGTATCGGCTGACACACACGATATGTTTGTAATGAACGATGTATCTATGATCATAAAGTCGAGGACTGAGCTATATGATCTCCCACAGAGGCGTTGACAGAAGGACCGCAGAAAGGGAGTAGCGACTCTGGCCGGTATGGGAACGAGAGTGTGTGCGGTTATTGCTTGCAGTGTGGTGCATTCAGTTAAAGGAATAGTTCGACATTTTGTGAAATAGGCTTATTTGCTGAGAAGTTTGACACCACTTTACCACCGTCGTCTGTTAGTCTGTTGTACAGATGAAACAAATCAAACATGTTAGAGGTGCTAGTAGGCAGATTTTCATATTCAGCGTACAGACGGTGTGAGAGTTGTATTGATCTTCTCGTCTAACTCGCAGCAAGAAAGCGGATGAGCGTGTTTCCCAAAATGTGTAACTATCTTGTTAGACAGTGTGTTGCAGAGTGATAACAGCATGTCCACATCACTTTGGAGTTCCTGTCTAATAGAGTGGTGCAGGAACGAGTCCGAAAACCCGGAAATGAGTCGGCAAGTTTTGCACTTCCGGTTCCCTCATCTAGCGATGCCTCAAATACGTTCTGTGGTTAATGCAAGCTTTAGAGATTTCAACATTTCGTTCTACCAAAGAACAATTTCCCTCTTGTCAAATTTGAAGCTTTTTTTTTTGGTCATGTGACCGTGATGTAGTAACGTTTATAGCCTAACTTGCTGAACAAATCGTCTAAGTATCATGAACGTTTGTTTGCTAACTTCCCGGGGTTGGCCAACAAAGGTTCCCTGCACCTCTCTATGTGACCGTTAACACGTCCACAGACACACTCCGCAGCTCGTTTTTGTGTGAATAACTAGCTTTTTGCAGTTTTCGTGTGTTCAGTCTGCAGGATCGTCTGACTGAAAGCAGCCGGCTGCCATCAGATAGTGCTCACTTGGGCAGGTCTAAATCTTCCCAAAAGCACAGCTATGAATGAATGTATGAGTGTCAGGTGGAGGATGGAGAGCGGAGCCGGTGATCACAGTTACAGATAGAAACGTTCCCACCCGGCCCGCACTCCTGCCGGGTGTCTCCTGTCGGGGAATCAAACACCCTCTTTATGTGGCACGAGAAATCCTAATGGCCAACAGGTTAGTCAAAGAGCTCCCTCAGTTATTTAACAGCCCTCTCATCTGACCGGCTCCGACTGAAGCTCAGTTCATGCTTCAAAAGACGAGATTCTGTTTGTAGCAGCAGCAGCAGCAGGGGGTCTGGAACGCTGAAGTGACGCTGAAGTGTAACTACACAGAAACACGCTGCAGGCAGTGAGTGAACAAGTGAAAGTAAGCTGTCAGCACGCGGCCATGTGACCCCCCAACTGAAGTATGAAAGCCTCACAAATCGTGTGTATAGATTATTGACAGGTACATGTAAACTGTCAGGATTAGGGGCGGGGACAATGGAAGATTTTATTGCAATAAAAAACACTCAACAATAAGTTGATCGCGGTGAATTTACATCATCGTAATCATCGTCACACGAGGGATTTAGAAAAAGCTTCTTCCTTTTGTGTGCTACCTGTCTGTTTCTGCTATCTTCATCATCATCATCATCATCCTCACTCCAAACATCCCACACAAATCCCGTTTCTGCACGGCAGCTCAGCCTCACGTGCTGGATGAAGTGTGATCGCTCCTGTATCGACATTCTTATCGCTTCTCATATCCTGCAGGAGTTGGAGTAGTTTCAACCACCAGAAACACTTTCTGTGTCCTGGTGATCAGCCCCTCACAACACAAACACCCATCGCTTACATAATCGCTGCTGGTGCATTTAAGTCTATTATGATTGCAAGAGAGCCAAAAAAACTAATTGCACCATTGCTGCAAGCAAATGAAGACTGAGTACAACGGTATTCAATGTCTCAAATTTACTTTTACAAGCACACAAGGACTTGCTAGCTTGAGATTTTGCGAGAAAAAAACTAAATAAATCTGATTTCAGGTCTTGTAACGTCCAGCAAGTTGGATTTTACACAGTTGGTGTAGAAGCATGTGATCATGTAGCCCCTCCTCGGGTAAAAGGTCATTTAGCTGTGAGATTGGAGTGATTGCTGAAGACTCAGAGGGACACAGGTGTGTTGGTGTGTGTGTGTGTGTGTGTGTGTGTGTGTGTGTGTGTGTGTGTGTG